TGATAAAAAAAATTGCACATCGATGGAAGCGAAAGTGAACAAAAAAAGCTAAGTAGAGGCATTTAAAGGCAAGCTGACAAATAAAAAAGCAAAGCTTCGCAGGATTTGGGGATTATTTCGGAGGAAGAGAAAAAAAAGGGTCATGTGACTCTTTGCAACCCCCAAGCCTCCATTTCCGAGCTGAGCCATGGAACTTTAAGCTGCCGCAAGGTCAAAGGTCGACACGATTCAACAACTCAAGCAACACTGTCTAAAATTATTATTATTAACGTCTTTATTTGCTTGGGTGGGTGGGGGGTTTCTCGTTTCTCATATCCCTCACTTTAAACGCTACTTCTCCATCAAAGCCAGCGTTCCAGCCACCGGCAATTCGTATTACAAGTGGCTGTTAATTCAGCACTCGGTTGTGTTTGCAGTCGAGAGGACGGCGGCGGGGAAGGTCGGGGAGGGGGGGGGGGGTCAGTGGGGTTGAGTGGACGTGACCGGGAGGGGCTCTTTGAGATGCCAAGAAATGCGAGCGGCCAGCGGCCTTTCAATTTTAAGAGCGCACCCAAACGACACCGAACACACGTTAAGCGGACACAAACCCGAGGACATTCGTGACTTCGCCGCAGAAGCTCACGCCCATTCACAACGCCGGGCCGTCAGTAGCCACCCAGCGGCGGTGACGTCATCGTGTGGCCTAGGTGCCAGTTCAGGTGCACCGGGGCACCGCGACAAGAGCAAGGAAGGAAAGGCTTCAGACGGACATAACGCAGACCTGACGGAAAGGAATCTCTGTGCTAATAAATGGCAGCGGGAACAAATTGGAAAAAAAACGTTACTGGAAAGGCAAACGAAACCGTACTCTCGGCGTGTGCTCCAAACGCGAGACTAAATTAAGCAGAGGGAGCCCAGCGGAGCGTTAAGGAACGCCACGAGGACGGAGAGAGAAGGAGCGCGGGAGTCGTTACGCGCGGCGCGTGCCGCCACTTCAGAGCAGCGCCGATCTCCGGTCGTCGATGTTTTTCGTCCGCTTTAATCGAAACTGAGACGCACGTGGGGGCCTGGCAGGAGGCTGGCATCTGGCCTGGGTTAGTAGCTGGCTGGTAAGATGGCTCTCGTTGCCACAAAAAACAACAAAAAAAAACAACAAAAAGTACATTTAAAAAAATAAATCAGTTGATTTTTAAACTGTGGAAAAAAATGTAAAACCAGTAGCTCGACTTCTTGAGCGCGACGCATACGGACACGTTAAACGGTTTTGCTATCGTACGTACGCACCCGATTAATAAAAATAATAATAATGCCCGTCAAAAATAAAAAGACCACAAATTGTTGTAGGATTATGGGCAAGGCCAATGTTTTCTTTCTTCTACTACCGTCTCATGAAAGAGACATTTAAAAATGTTTATCCGTACACAAAAGATGGCTTTGTGCAACGGAGTCGCGATTGAACTACGCAACTGCTGTCACTCAAACAGATGAGGTTTTCAGCGAATTTCGTGACACGTGGATCATCTCCGCCGCATAGGACGCCAATTTTTTCCCCTCTGTCAACCGTCTTTACCCTATCTGTCGACAACTTCTCTCCAACACGGAGGGGGAGGGGGGGGGGGGTGCACTGCCAAAATCAACAGCCCCAAAACGAACATAAACATTTTTTGGGCCGTGCGGTGGTTATTTACCGTATATCGCTAAGGTAAAGCAGGGCAGGAAGGGCTGTCAAGAGACTGGGCGTTGGGCACGCGCGCACTCGTGTACTGACGGTGCGAGTGGCCGGGCTCGTGGAACGAGGACAAATTAAACGATGAAAAATTGCAGGAAGTTTCTGCTTCAAGTTTTTGTTTGTTAAATGATTTTTTCCCCCTCACCTCCCCCCCCCCCCACACCGACCCCCACACAGACCCCCCCCTCACCACCCCCCCCGCCGCAGAACTCAACCATCGTTCATCCTTGCTCAGAAAAAAATGCACAAACCTCTCCGCGCGAGAATAATTTATATATTTTCTCCCATTAAAAAAAAACATGCGAAAAATGCACACTTCTTACCGCCATCCCGCATACTTTGACAATAAACACCGTCGGTTTAATAAACGAGGATCTGTCGCATCTGACGGGAATTTTTTCGCTTCATGTTGAAACGAATTGCACGATGAAATGCCAGTCTAGTGTGTAAACAAAATGGAAGCCGATATTCGCATAATTCGACATCGCTCGGTTTGCGTCGAAATTGCACGGCGGTTACGCCCACCGAGCCCCACCAGTCGGGATCGTTTTGGACGTACACTGGCGCGTCCCGTAGGCCACAGGAAAGAACCGCAGCCGAGGCGATGCCACGATTCGCGCGGAGTGCACAACCGTAGCAGAGACGGTTTTCGTTCAATCGCCCACGCACACGACTGTCGGGCGCTCTTGCGAACGGCGGGGAAGACATAAGGGTAACTGCTCTGTGTAAATAGGTGCAAGTCGAGGACAAGAGGAGGAAAAAAAAAGGCACGAAAAAATTCGGCATATTTAAATAAGCAGGGAATTTGTCACGATGATGGTTTGGGTTAAGTTGGCAGTCCAAACACGGCGAAGCAGCGTGACTGTAAGCGAAGCTGACAACGTGTGTATATCCTTAACATAAGCAGAGATGTATCACCAAGACAAAGGGCCTTTGCGCGAATCCGTGCCCAGTATCTGTCTCCCGGCCTCATCGGCAGCGCTAACGCACCAAGCGCACCGCTCTTTCTGTGCCACACCGTGTATGCGGCCCTTCTAAGGACATGGCGAGGTGTACCGTGTCATCATCATCACTCACAAGGCAATGTGTATCGCCTTGCGTAGATCTTCACTGGACGCGAGCCCAAACATCAGCTCTCGCATGTCACTCAAACATGACGGGCATACGATGAGGCCATCATCGTTCAAGAACAGACAATCCAGCTCTGTTGGCGATTCGCAGCCCAGGCCAACTTACGTTTCTTAGCGGTCAAAAACGATGCCTCTCACTTGCGTTTGATCTATAATCTGTTTGGTAGGAACTGTGATTGGAGAGGTTGACTCACAAACACAAGGGTGTAAGCTGAAATCCTGGTTGGGTGTCGAAAAAAGCAAGCTTTCCTCCAATGTCGATAAAACGAGTACAACGTTTATGATATTGTTTAATTTTTTATTATTTTATTATTTCCCTTCTATATGACTTTACCGAAAGAACCAAGAATATGAGTACAACTTTGTAGAAAGTCAACAGCTGGTTGTCTTCTGGATTGACTTGGCCTCTGTCATGGGAATGTGGAGTAGCCACCACTGGTTCAGGGCCACCACTGGAGCCGAGCGCTGGCTCACTGCTTGTTTGAACAGGGAGACTCTCGTAATCACTTTTTGTTTCTCTCCCCGTCTCGTCCGCTTGTCCGTTACAAACCCTTAAATGTAACGTGAGCGAATGATTTAAAGGCACCGCGTTGCGCAACTGGTTATTCTCTGCATCTTCGTCCGTGACCTACACTCCACTCCTGCTACTCCTCGTCTCGCGAGTCATCGTTGTCGCTTGTGAATTTTCTAAAATTAATTTTTAATTTGAAAAGACAAATTTCCCTTGTGTAGATCATGACTTGCAGTTAAAAGAATCAAAGGTTTGTAAACTCTGAAATACCTTGGGATGACTCTTTTTAAAAGGTGCTATTTGAGGTGTAATTTTATTATTTATATTACTAAAATAATAACGAACAATTGTTAGCCCATTTTCAACCCACTGCTGAATGAAGACCTTCCCATGCCGTGACGGCCATTGAACCTGTTTGACCATACTTCACCGTGCTGGTCAGTACAGGCTGAAGTAGTATTATTATCATCATCATGACCTCTCCCGATCCTTGTCACATATCTCCCTACCCATACTTTTATTCATCCTTTCTGCAACTCGTGCATCCCACTCCTGCGAAGTATTGCGATATCGCTGCCGCAAATTAAAAAAAATCGAAGAAAACCGTTCATCAACCGACGATGAATCGCTCGTGTAGAAAATGCTTCAGCGCCGATTTGCAGCGGCGCGTGAGCCTTAAATGCCAGCGGCGCTTTGAATTCAAGCTGTGTTTAAATGCAAGCTGATAGAACAGACCAGAGGGGGCTAGGCCAGGGTCAGCCAATAGCCACCCGCTACCCTAACAATGGGGAGAAAGTCAAACTGAGGAATGACGGCATAAAAAACATAATAATAACAAAGTTACAGGAAAAAGACAAAGTGTGCCAATACCCCATTCCCTTATCCCTCTGCCTACGACCGACCGCCCCCATCTACGAAATCGACGTGCAGGTGTTCTGCACAGCGTCACGGGATTCGACTGTTTTCAGACGCCCTATAAAACCACGTCGTACAGGGTGATCCAGATGTATTGACCCCCTAACCTTATTTTTATTTGCACATTCATTTGTTTTAAAATAAACCTCAATTTAAAAAAAACGATTTAGAGATTTAAATGTGGGTCACAAGACATCTGGCCGAATCTGGCCGTCGCCTGATGAAGCTAGTTGTAATTACTGGTGAAACGTCGTACTCAGATTGTTAATGTTGTGGCTTGGCTCTCCAACACACCGGTATGCTGTACTAGTGACGAATTGGCCACGTTCTGTTTACGTGACAAACCTTACGAGTTGGCTGTGTCGGGTGGTGGCGGGTTTAACGACACATTTATATATTGATGCGATCTAACCCAAAAAAGTCTACTATGGATGATATTGGTCGCGAAAGCCTCCTACGTGTTAAACTGACATCTGGACCTCCCTTTACTATTGCAGGCACTCCGCCGTGGCGGTGTCCGGTAATGAACACACAGCGGGGGGGGGGGGGCATTAACAACAAACAACAACAAAAGCAACAGCCACAAATCCCACCAAGGCGCTGCAGTTCAAGTCAACAATCGGTCTGATTGTTAATCCCGCATACAGGTGGATGGTCCGGGGGGGGTGGGTGGGGGGGGCATCCGTGCGTCCGTGCGTGCATGCGCTGGCGTGCGGTACTTCCCTCCGCTCCTCACCTGAGCGATGTTTTTATTCAGCAGATATACCCCATAGTCGAAATGGAAGCGCTCATTTCCTTTGGCGTATAAAGGAAACCTGCATCGGAGAGGAGGGAGGGGGGGGAAAACAAACAGGGTTTGACGCTTTATCACGTGGGGCTCTTGCCCTGGGTGATTAATGGCAGGATAAGTGGCTCAAAAAAGGAGTAATCAGCGATAGGCTTGAGCTGTGGACTTGAAGTGCTTTTCGCCGATAATAATTAGACCCGGCAAAAGTGGGGGAAAAAAATATATATTATTGAAAAGCTTGTGTTAAACACGTGGACATTCAAGACACTGGTGTTTCAAAAGAATAACACATGCAGGGGGCTCATTGTGGAGAAACTTGAGCAGAAAGTATATTTTGCCCGCCGATAGTTTTACATTTCGCAGCACTGCGAGGTCCTGAGAGTCAGATAGTGTTGAAGTTGTGGTTTCACAGGGCCGGTGTGCGTGTGGCTGTACGTGCGTGCGTACGTACGCGTGCGCGTTCGAGCTCTGGCAGTGGTTGCCACCATGAATTTTTGACCGTGACATGACCAAACAACCCGGGTTAGATTCCTGGCCGCGAAAGCACACACCATTATGGCCATGGTGTCTCCAGCAGCAATTGGTATCTAAACCTGGCCTGCGCCTTATCTTTGTCCCTCCTATTAGCACGGTTGGCTACGTACGGTGTGAAAGAAGTTCAATATACGTACATACGTAGTCATCTCAGAGCCTAAAATGTACTTGGTGTGGTCATGAAGAAAATGGAGACAAGAAAGGTGACCAAGGAGTGTGTGGTGCTTAGCCACATCCCACTCTCCAATGCCATGCCTCGCCTAAATGGGCGCCCCAATGGCGAGATGTTAACCGTCTCACCTGGTATACAAGAGGTCGTAGGTACGATCCCAACCCTGCTGTATATTTGGAATTTGTATGTTCTCCCCGTGGTCACGTGGATTTTTCTCAGGGACCTCCGATTTTCCCCTCCACATTCAGAAGCGTGCGTTGAGAGCATTAGGCCACTATAAATTTCCACACGATGATAAGCCACTTAATTGAGCTATAACGTGCGGTCAGGTCGCTTCTGAAAAAGAGCTGTGTGGCTCAGTGGGCCTTACTTGGTAAAATAAAAAATTGTTTAGGTGCTCACGAACAGCACTCTCAAGCATGAGCCTCTATGGCTAAACAGGGATCTCCGTCGACTGGGAACAGCCCATGCCGCTGTTGGGAATGTGTGTGTGCTCGCTGGGGCGTGCGTGCTCCCTCGCAGAGAGGACCTTTCCAGCGTGCGCAGATTAACGTGGGATTACTGCAGCCGGTCTCAGAAATGCACTTTAACCAAAGCAACTCAACGCAAAAAACGGACACTCGCATACACACAAACACACACAAAGACCCTCGATTACGGCACACTCGATTCAGGGGCAAGTGTTGTTAGCGAGCAACTATTAAGGCCTGCAGGGTACACAAGCAGGTAATATGGCCAACAACAACAGCCGGCCGCCAGGTATACATTTAAGGCCGAGTGAATCCTTGGGGATGCTCAAGACCCTTTCAGATTTTGGTCGATTCACGCTCACGAGGTTGGGTCACCGGGTTCGTAGCACGATGCGCCTACCACCGCACGACTATTGCCCACGTTGCATTTAGGCCAGGGAAAGATCCCCCGTATAGCCTTAACAAACTGTTGGGTCAAGTGCTGTTCGTGAGCACCTAACAGCACTTTCCCCAACATATGCGCGCACACACACACAAACACACAAGCACACGCGTATATGCATGTGCGCGAGCGCGAGCGTAGGCCCACTCACTCGCGGTCCTTGTCGGTGAGCTTGTCGGTGATGTCGTCACGGATGCGCGACTTGGAGCCGCGGTGCAGCACGGGGTAGCGCAGCGGCACGTGCAGGAAGAGCGTGACCATGCACACGAGGTGCGCCGTGAAGCCCAGCGCGCCAGACACGCTCGCCTCGTCCTTGGCTGATGCGGCGCAAAGACAACGGCGGGAACACGGGGCAACGTCAGCACATGGCTATGCTGCATCATCATCATCGTTTTCATCGTCATCATCGCCAACCTTGATCAAACAATGGGCAGGACTTAACAGTAAGCACAATCGCCGGACTCGTACAAACCACGGAAGATGCGGAGATGCGGATACCGAATGCACAAGTGGAGAAAAAAATAATCTATCTCTTGCTCCTGTGTGTGACTATGGCTTCAAACTGCACGCCAGCGAGCGTGTAACTTCACACTGCCCCAAACATACGTGTTCAAGTGGGTGGGTGTATCTGCAGTTCACGAATTCTCAAAGAAATTAAATGGTTAAATCACTTATAACCGAATCTCTAATAGCTGCTCTTCCAAGGCCAACCAAAAGAAGAAGCAGCATCCACTACTGGATGAAGGCCTCCCCCAAGCCATCTCAATCTCACACGGTCCTGCGATGCAGCAATCAACCGAGCTCCTGCACACTACATCGTTAAGTCTCATCCCTTCTAGCGACGTGTCACTGCCTAAGTGTGCTTACTCTTCTTAATGACAACGGGGCAGCAGAGGCCTTAACATTTGTGATGAATGTAGCTGCCTCTAGTGGCAGAAGGGGTGACGTCAACTCATTACATGCAACAACAACCGCCATTCGCCACTAAGTGGCGGTGACGTCACCACGACGCTTGTGCCAGGCCATGTGCACCTTCAGGCCTTGTGAAGTGTCGAACGCCCGCTCGCAGGAGGTCACGGGTCAGACCAAAGTGCCACGGGTCGACTAAGATGACTGAGATGACTGGCTGATGCACCACCTGTGCCCCCTACTGTGCCAACCTGCTGTGCTTTAGCCACCCGGCGCTCCGCTCGTTGTTGTGAGCGTCGCTCCTCCGCCCTCCGTTGTTGTTGGAGGGCGACTGCCTCCAACTGCCCAGTAGCATCCTTCACGACCCTCCTCCACAGAGGCCGATCTTGACACCGCTGGTACCAGTCATCGGCAAGTCCACTCAGCTCCACGTCCTCCTGTACCACATCACTCCATCTCTTCTCTAGCCGCGCCCGTTTAACCCCCTCGATCCGGCCGAACAAAAGCTGTTTCGGCATGTGGTGGCTGGGCATGCGGGCTACATGACCCAGCCAACGCAGCCTTGCCTGCCGGAGGAGCTCACCGATGGGACCTTGCCCAGATCTTTCAAGGATTTGTAAGAGCCTCACACAATCCAGCCTGGTTAAACCCAGGATGGATCGTAGGCAGGCTAGCCTAAATGTTTCTAACCGGCGAAGAAGTTCCATTAGGGGGGTCCACGTTTTGCGTAGAGAAGGGAGGGAATGACCGTGGCGGAGAAGACCTGAAGCTTAGTGCGGAGCAACAGACCAGGTAGCTTCCACACAGCGTTACACAACCGATGAAAAGATATTGCCGCTCGACTGATTCGGAGTGAGACCTCTGCTGTTAAACTGGAGCCGGTCATAAGCACACTGCCCAGGTATGGGAAACTCTCCACTCTCTCCACAACTGCCCCATCACCGATTGGGAGTTGTGGGGGTGGAGTGTCTGATAGTACAAAATACCCAGGCAGGTGCTTAGTTTTGGTGGGGCTGATGGTAAGGCCCCATCTCTTAGTGGCACGCTCCAGTCTCAGCAGCAGCGTCTCCAACTTCTCCTCTGAATGAGCAGCTATTACCAAATCATCGGCATACATAACGTGGTTGAGCAATAGGGAGCCATCCCTTGACCGCACCCGGGCATCGATCAGCCTCCCATTATATCTGTACCAAATGGAGATTCCCCCGGTACAGCTATTGAAGGCTTCACGAACTACGTGGTCAAAATAGATCTTAAATAATGTGGGAGCCAGAGGACATCCCTGTCGCACCCCAAGGTGTACAGGGAATGGCTCTGACTCCCGGCCACGTAGTTTTACCCGGACCCGCTCACCATCATGAAGGTCCTTAATGATCGTGAGCAGAGGGTCAGAGATTCCAAAAGCACGAAGAACAACTCAGAGCCCAGGCCTACTGATGGTATCATAGGCCTTGACCAGGTCAATAAAGCAGAGATGTAGGTCTTGCTGGAATTCCCTACACCTCTGCTGTAGCAGACGGACAGAAAGTATGGCATCTGTGCAGGACCGCCCTTTCCTGAAACCGCATTGGGGCTCCGCAAGCCTCTCCTCAGCGTGCCTGGCAAGGCGATGTTGAATAATCCTTGCCAGGACCTTTCCCGGCACACTGAGGAGTGAGATGCCCCTGTAGTTGTTACAGTCTGTGCGGTCCCCCTTCTTATAGAGGGGGACCACCAGGGCATCCTTCCAATTTTGCGGAACCCGTCCAGTGGTCCAGACTGTTGTTATCATGTCATATAGGGCAGTCTGTGCACAAACGCCACCCTCCAGCATTTCGATTGGGAGATAATCTCTTCCCGGTGCCTTTCCTAGTCTCAGGCTCCGGATCGCCTTCAGTACTTCCTCAACAATTGGCACCTCAGCCAGCCACTCATAGGGGGTGACTTCCTCCAATATTTGAGGCACCGCAGCCTCAGCAGGGTCATCCCCACTCTGTGCCACGATGTTTTCCTGGCTGAGGCATTTCCCCTCCCCCAGGACCTCACAGAAATGCTCAGAAAATCTGCAAACCTGTTCCTGGGGGTCGGAGATTGGATCACCGTTTTTTCCCTAATGATGGAAATAGGTGTGGCGCTGCAGGTTACTTTTTTGATGGAGTTAAATAGAGATTTGTGATCGCGGGCCATTGAGGTAGACTCCATCTCCTCAGCAACCCGCGACCACCACCCATCCTTGCAGCGCCTCACGGCTCTCCGAACCTCCGTGCGAAGGCTGCGGTAAGCCTCCTCATTCTCTGACGTGGGATTCTGTAGCCGATGATAGTGGGCCTGTCGCTTTTTCTCAACTATCCTGAACACCTCCTCTGTCAGCCAGGGTCTCTGGGGAGGTCTGGACCGCGTACCCAAAGCAGCCATTGCAGCTGCATGAGTCACAGTCCTAAACCTCGCCCATTTACCCTCGACATCAGGAGGAGTGGGGGACGATGCCAACCCCAGCCGCAAGCGATGATGAAATTCTCGCTTGCAACTTTCATCAGATAACTGAGACCAGGCCACTTTAGGTTGGAATGGGGTCCTGGGTGTACGCCCACCACCGGAGTGGAAGAATGGCAGGCGCATCTTACAGATGACTAGTCGATGGTCAGAGGGCAGATCAGCACAACGGTAGGTCCTGGTGTCAAGGACATGGGCTCGCATCCGCTGGTCCGTCACTACTTAGTCCAGCAGATGTTCTTGCTTGGACCCGGCATGCATCCACGATGTTGTGTGGATGCGCCGATGCTGGAACAGCGTGTTGGTAATTACAAGCCCATGGGCTGCACAAATATCTAGCAGCCTCCTACCGTTGTCATTGAGCTGATCTGGCCCATGCCCTCCAATCACTCCAGACCAGGTGCCAGCATCATGACCATCGGTGCCGGGTCGGAAACTCTGTCGTGAACAGTGCTGTGGAGGGAGGGCCAATTCCGATTGGCCCCTCCTCTCATGGCATCTGTGACCACCACAGTGGCTAAACGGGGCTCTAGATGAGTGCGAGGGGCTGGTAACCCCTCCACCTTCAACATATTTTACCACGAATAACATTTTTTACATCCACACACACACACAAATGGAACACATTGATTCTTGTTCGCATGACACACCATAAGCTATAGAATGAATATCAATGAATGAATGAATGCCTCGTTTAATCACAAATGGGGGGGGGGGGGGAGGGGGGTTGGGATGGCAACACTCATCACGGATGTTAATCGTTGGTCAGGAATTGAACTCAGCTGGCCAGGCTCATAGGACAGTGCGCTAACCACTGCGGCCAAAGCGGACAATCGATATTCGACAGTAAATTTCCACACGTAAAACCCCACTTCACACTCGGCCGTCGCCAACCTACTGGCAGCACTGCCGCCTACACGCGACGCCCCCGTTCTACCCTGCGGGTGTGCGACACGCGCGCACATCGTGGCTCCATCTCTGTGCGATCCACCAACCCCAGCGTCTCAGCCGCCCACCCGCCGTCAACTTATAGCGGGCTCGCCGCACGCTGAACAATTGCTCGCTCGCCAAATCGGTCGCTCGCTCAACAACCCAGAAGCGACGCCGGGGGGACTTTGTAACGTAAGACATTGGCGCCAGGCAAAACCACCACACCATCCCCCCCCCCCCCAACTCTGGCTTTGTCAAACCACAGCAGTCTTGTTATTGAGTTTTTATTACTTTCTAAAAATATTTTCCATTTTTCTAACCGCATGTATAAACATGAATGACGTTGTTGAAGGCGTATGCTGCGATTCTGGAAGTCGATTCTTTTTTTAAATGGAAACCCACGCCGGAGTCAACTAATCCACGAAGTTGGGATTTTTTAAGATATTATTTTTTTCTACAAGAGCCACCCACGCGATATCCAATCGCAGAGCCAGGATATTCAGGTAGATGGGGCAACCCCTCCAGCAATTAAAAATGATAGACGAGTTGTTAGTAAGGACTTGTCCCTTGCTTTCTATTCGATGCGTGTGCGGCGATGGTGCAGCTATCGATCGAGGGTCGAATTCGAACCGCATTGTATCGCGCTCGCTGAAGGTATTGATGCCTTCAGGGAAGTCGTGTACTGTATACACAACTGCGCACAGTTCTGAGTCGCTTATAACTGCTTTGCTGTTACTTATTGCCAATTATGGACTCAGACTATTGTCCTATCATCTCATAGAGTCCCTGGCCCGTAATAATATGCTACACAGTGGCAGTGGGAGTCGCAAAATGCCGATTTATTACTAATAAACCCCAATGATCTGATCGAAATTAGGGATTTCGATCGGATCATTGGGGGGGCATGTGCCCCCCCCCCCCTCCCTACTGGCTCCGCCAGTGGCGATATCTGTTCCTCGCAAATGCCAAACGACACGTCCGCATTGTGACCGGCTGGCACACATCA